CACCCTGTCTTACCAAAGACACAAGAAAGTTTGGCTTGCACAGTTCTAAAGCCATGTCTGCTTTCTTGACTAGTGACCATCCTCACTCCTATACAACTGTCTTTCTCCTCTACTCTCTGGCTTTCCCTTTCCCCACATCCAGAGAAAACTGTTCAAAAGTTCCTGTGATCACATCAGCCTCACCTGGATAATCAGTGTCTCTTGATTAACCCAAAGTCAACTGTTGGTAACATGAATTACACTAGCAAAATCTCTTTCTACCAGGTAATGTGACCTCGTAAGATATAGGATATTTCATCTTATTCTCAGTTCCAGGGATTGGAGTTAAAAATCTTGTATGTCCTATTAAAAATTTGTCTACAAAACAAAACTAAACTAAACTGAATGAAATCTGTCTACGACAGTTACATTTATCATTTAAATAACTCGAATACAACTTTACTGTGGAAGACTACTGACTACTCATATTCGTCAAGTTTTCTCTTTATTTGATTATATTTTTTATTGGTAGAGGGCAGGTGTGCTCATCAAAGACAGAAAGCATAAGGAATCATCTCTTAAATGGAATGTGCTCATGCCACAGCCCCTTCTCTTTTTCTCCACCCTGTTGGGATTTGGGGTGTGCACCGGCACACATGCACCCTGCGTGTTTTTCAAGCCCCAGGCCAGTATGCAGTCCTCGGTCAGCCACGTGGAATCCAGTTTCCTCGCTGCTATGCAGTGGGGATGGCACACTATCGAACTTTGACTGAAAATATTTTGAATTATCTAGCAACAAACTAAAAATTAAAGTACTAAATGATTAATAAACAGAGCTACTCTTATTTTTTCAAAACATTAATTGCTAAGTTAATTACCTTAATTTCTACAGTTTTTAAAATGTCTTTTGACTTTACCTCTTATTCTGTCTTAATAAACTTGACCATTTTCCCAAATAACATGATTGTATGACATCGAACTGGACCAGCAGTTAGGAGAAGTTGATCTTACTCCAGCTCTGTTACTAATTAGCCAGAAATTGGGCAAGTCACATTCATGGAATTTTGGTTTTGAGAGCAATTTCACATTATCCATGCCAAAATATTACTTTTAATTACTGTACAAAATATCTGCCAAATTTTGCATGGATTCTTCCTTGGAGTCTTATTTGATTTCTAATATTGAAACAAAACCCTCCTCTATATTGAATGGAAAGCTCTATTTCCCTAGCTTTAAACATTCATCTGAGTTGCAGTGCTTAAAATTAAGCAGGCAAAATCTTATTCCTTTTTCATATGACAGTTCTTTAGATTATTATTTTTTTGGAGAGGTTTTTGCTATAGGGCACATGCGCTCGCCAGAAAGACAGAGAGAAACAGAGAGATAGAAAGTGAGAAATCACCCCCCAGGAGGGATGGCCATGCCGAAAACCTTTCTTCTCCATGCTTCTCTCGGGATCTTAGGCACGCACACACACGTGCCTGGTGTGAGTTTAAGCCACCGAGTCCAAGACTTGAACTGTGGTCGACTACATGGGAGTCCAGCGACATAGCCATTATGCCAACTGCTGGTTCCAGACTTTTAAAGATGGTTACCACATTCTTTCTCCTGGATACACATTCACTTTCCTGGGCACAGAGTATCTAGACATGCAAAGTCCCAGTCTTCTTAGATTTAAGGTTCAAGTCGTTGCCATGATTTGACCCCCTGTCATTCTATCTCGTAGCTGTTTTCTGAACCAGATTCAGAAATTAACATCATCGTACTATTCCACCACCCTTGTTCTAGAATCTGTGTATATACAGAAATATGCTCACAGATGCATGTCCATGCCCCATAAGAACCATTTAGAACTTCATTATTCTGACTCAGCTTATTTACTTGCTAAATTATCCAGTTAATAACAGATTTCCAACATTCTGCTTTTCCAGATTCTAAGATTAATAACATTCAAATGAAAGAGGACCCTCTATACTACTATTCTAAAACAAAGGAGATATCCGATGTTATATTTTCTCCTCATCAAAAGACCAAGAAGCCATATGTAATTTATATAAATTTTAGTAGAACCCAAGTAAGCTATTTAGCACTTTTACCATGCAATATATTCTGGTCATCAGTTATCATTCAAATGTTCACCCAAAGCAATTTCAAGTTTAACTCGTGCTTTGATAGTCTGTTCTCATAAGCTGCCGGGAACTCCATAAAAATAGAAACCCCACATGGGCAGCCATCTCCAGCTCTTGCTTTCCCCCACAGCATTCAAAGCCACTTCCTGTCCTCTAACCTTTAATTTAGCAGAGAGAGCCTGTCACAATAGAGCCATCTTTGTCCATCTCCACAGGCAGCTTCCCCTGTGGGTCACAGAATGCCAGATTCTGTAACAGACAGGTACATTTGGCATTGTTGTTCCGGAATTGTACAAAAGACAGCCTATTTACCAGCTGGAAGAAAGGTGTGTGCTTACACGCTCCTAAAAAAATCCTGTCTTTCACACTGCAGCAACAAAGATGTTGGTTAGGACAGTCGGGCAGGAAGCACATGTTTTCTGTGTATAAAACACCTTTTAGAAATTATTCATTCATAGAATTTAAGAAAAATGAACAACAATGCATCTGAATTCACACATTGTGTAAGAGAGCAAAATAAACCTCAATGTAGGTCTTATAATCCATGAAGTGGTTGTTTATAGATTTATGGCACCAGAAGCATTTGAATGAAATAAAAAGAAGAAAGAAAAAAAAAAAAGAAATAAAAAAGAAGAAGAAATAACTAGGTCTTTCTCCCTAGCGCAGTTTACTTTTTCAAAGATTTGATCAGGCACAGAGAAGCCTGCAATGGCTATGCTGAAACTGGGGCCAGGAACTCTGAACCTGTAAATAGAAATTTGGAGTAAATGTGCACACTTCTATTTCATACACAAACCCTGGAGACGTAGTCCAGAGAGAACCAGGTAAAGAAAAATGGCAATGCTTCCTGAAATACCAGCTCTCAAAGGTGACTCTTCTTTGTCCCTCAGCCTGAATGTCCAGGCTGCAAGTTTCCTCTGTGCCTGTCTGCAATGCCGCCTTCATCACCTACCCTCACAGCCAGTCTCAGCCAGTGGAGTCATGCCACAGCTTCCTAACTTGCAGGGCAGACTCTTCTGCGTCTCTTTTGCAGGGAACAGCTATCTCTCATAGCTATCCAGCTATGCATGTCTCATGATATCACCTTGCTGCCTCGCTCTTACACACACCCCTAATCATGAATACCTCAGATGAAGTCCGAGTGCTTTCGGGAAGCTGACAGAGCCAGCAGCTGAATGGCACGGCACCCCTCCACCCCTCCACCCCTGCACATTCATGAGATCTCATGTACTTACTTTAATTCCTGACAAAGCATGTTCTTTTATGATTCCATGTCTTCAGAGATGCTATTCCATCTTCCTGGAGACTTTGCCACCTCACCGCGCTGACGCAACTCTATTTTCACAAAGACTGAACTGAGACTCTGGCTGCTGCTTGGTCCTATCTTTGGCTTATTTTACCAGGTGCACATGGTCTTTTTTCTCCATCTCTTATTTTTTATAAATGCCTCACTAATCTTATCTTATGGCTTATATATAATGTGTGTGTGTGTGTGTGTATATATATATATATAGTTCATATATATATATACATGATACATATGAACTAAACTGAACTAAAACCTAAACTGAAAACCCTACCACAGCACGAGTTCATCTCTCTAGCATAGTGCTTGAGACTTTAGGGAGTCACTACATTAATGAATGAAGTAACTGTCTCAATGTCAATAATGTTCAACCACAAATGTAATCAGTCAGTGTTTTGTTGTAACTGTGTAACTGAGAACGAAAGGAGGAGAATAAGCAAATAATTCCACATTTTACACCTACGGCAGCTACTGACACAAATTACTCACCCTCAGGGAAGTAATTGTGTGAAGTAAGCATTTCTTTTTTTGTTTGTTTTTTTTTGAGAGGTTTTTGCTACAGGGCGTGTGCGCTCACCAGACAGAGAGAGACAGAGAGACAGAAAGCGAGAAATCCCCCCCCCCCGGGGGAGGGGTGGCCACGCCGCAATCCCTTCTCCTCCATTCTCCTCTTGGGATCGTGGGCACACACGCATGCACACGTGCCCACCATGAGTTTAAGTCACCGGGTCTGGGACTCGAAGTGCGGTCGCCTACGTGGGAGCCCAGCGACATAGCCATTACGCTAACTGCTGGTCCCTGAAGTAAGCATTTCTGAAGATGCACCCATAAATAGGATATAGTTTTTCTAAAGAAATGTTTCTGGTATAGCTGCCTGAGTCTAAATCAAGCCCATGATATATTTTGTTTAATAAATATATATATATATATTACTTGCAATTTTTATAATGTATTGCTAACATTTAGAAATCAAGGTAATGAATATAAAATCTAGATATTTTTGGCATGCTATAAAAAAAAATGGAGAATTTGGCATATTGGGCCTGCATTTTTTCATAACAACTACTACTAAAAATTAAAGTATTAAATGATGCTAGCTCTCTGGGCTGTCCCCCTGGAAGGGCAGAGGCTCTCCCAGGTCCTGTGTTCATTCTCCCTCAGCCTCATCACATCCACACTTTATGTGCCAGAGATATATGATTTCGTAAGCCTTGGAAAATTTCTTCCATAGATTTGACTTTAGATTAAAAAATGAAACAGCTGCAGATACTGACAGGGGGCCTACGTGTAAGAACACAAAAAGCTCTAGTTCTTGCATAACATTGCAGTCTGTTTCTCAGAGAGGTAGGACCCCCTTTAGTCTCTTGCCCAGGCTATCAAGCTAGATCTTCAGCTCTCTCTTCATTTTGTGATTTAGGACATGGAGAGTTAGACTAGAAAAGTTGCATTTCAAAACCAAAAGGAAACCTCATAGCTCAGGGTCGCATACGGAAAGGTACAGAGCATGCTCTGTGGTTCCAAACCAGGGCATGTTCTAGAGACCTTGCAAGTCAACTGTCAAGTCTGGATTTCGGCTGAAGACTGACCTTGGATCTCGGCGGTGCCCGGATATACCACTTGCAGTCAACGGCCTCGCTGGCAGAAGCTTTGCCTTCCTTCATAATCTGCACAGACTCCACGATGCCTTCTGGACCACCCATCTCAAACTCACACGCTGGATAATAAAATACCAAACACATGGAAATGGAGCTTGAATAATAAACCCAAAGTATATTTCACAGTAGAAAACAAAGGCCTCTGAACATTATTATATCTCTATTTTACCAACCTGGTAATGGTTTCAAAACTCCAAGGTCCTTAAAGTCAGGATCTTAAAAATTGAGAAAAACAAAATTAGTCCTGATCTGCATTTATTATTTACAATGATATTGAGCAAAATACCATTAAAGTATCTAGACATCTGCCTTAAAAAAACACATTAGAAGAACTTACATGTAAAATAAAAAGGGTTATAATATTAGGATTGAAATATTAATTTTTATTATATGGTATTACTACCAAGGTTTTATTGCAATACAAAGACATTTTTGAAAATCTTTCAATGCCATTCCTATATCTAATTATCGAATAAAATCCTGACTCATTACCAAAACTCCATAATTGGACAATAAATATTTTTGTAAAATATCTCCAAAAGTAATTCAATATTTGGGTCAACTTCCATGTGTTCTAGATATAATTCTTTTGTTTGATTCAAAGGTTCTACAAATTATTAAAGCACATTTTTCAACTAGAAATGTTGCAAGCACAGAGTTGAGATGTCTAATCTAGCGCCCCTCTCTCTGGTTTACTGAACCATCCAGTTTTCATCAACTTTTCAGCTCCCGCCTCTCATACCATGCTATTCTTCCAAGTATTCCTCAGTATTCTTCTTTGTCAGCTACACACCCTTTTCTCCCTGGTCTTTCTCACTGTGAGACCTACATTCAAGTATCTCTTCTCTGCTCATCTGTGTGTCTCAGAGGAAGCATTCTTTATTATGAACTTCAGAAGGATCTTCCTTGTTACGAAATAAACATGATCTCATTCACAACTCCTGGGGTTGATTTTGAGAGAGGTGTAGAGCTAAGGAGATAGGAAGGGGAGCCTGCTAGAGGGCTTCTGAGAAAGTTTTCCTCACAATAAATAGAAACTGGGCTGTACAGTTTCACAGGTTTGAATTGTCGCCAACTTCGAAGATGAACAGAAAGGGAACCTGGAGTCCCAGGACTCCTTGAGGATGTCACTGAGGCCCTATATCAGTCCCTTCTGAAACTGGATTTCTCTGAACTTTTTTTTTCTGATTGGACTTTTTTTTTTTTCTTTCTGATTTTCAAGTACACAAGTACACAACAAATTGTCAGTAATTGTCGGGAACCAGCAATTAGCGTAATGGCTGTGTCACTGGACTCCCATGGAGTCGACTGCGGTTCGCGTCCCGGACCTGGTGGCTTAAAACTCACATCAGGCGCATGTGCGTGCGTGCCCAAGATCCTGAGAGGAGAATGGAGGAGAAGGGATTGCGGCGTGACCATCCCCCTGGGGGTGATTTCTCGCTTTCTGTCTCTATGTCTCTCTCTGTCTGTCTGGCGAGCGCACGCGCCCTATAGCGAAAACCTCTCAAAAAAAAAAATTTGTCAGTAATTGTAAACATCAGGATATACAATAGGTCTCTCAAACGTATTCTTCTTGACTACCTGAAATTGGGCTTTGTGCACTGCTTAAACATTTCTATTTATTATTATTATAATCATTAGTATTTTGTAATTCTCTGTAGGGCCTGTGGGTTCATCAGAGGCAGGGATGAGGGAGAGTGAGAGTGGTGAGGGAGACAGAGAGAGTTAGAACACACCCTGTAGAGGGATGATCACACTGCAGTCCCACTTCCTTCATTTCTCCATTCTTTTGAGATTTGGGGCATACACGTGCACACATTTTATTTTCAAACCGCCAAGTCTAGGACTCAAACTACTCCGACAGCCTTCTGGGATCCAGCTACCCTAAGCAGCACACTATTCGTCAGCCCTGGACTTCCTGTATTGTGAAGGAATGCATGTCCTCAGAATGTCAGCTCCCTTGGGTTGCATTTTCTTTTAATTACGGATGGGTGAAAGCATTGACAGCCCTGATATCTGTTGGAGACTCATGGTATACGATTTATTGTGTAACTGTGGAATTTCATTTGTTCTTATAACTGTGGCAGGTTCATGGTTCTAGTTTCACTATCTTCATTATTGCTGTTTCGTTGTTTTTGTTTTGTTAAAGCAGCATTGAGGACTGAACTATTGAGATCGAGAGGCCTGAATGGGCATGTTAGACTCAGTTTATGATAGCATGCTACTAGAAAGTGTTAGTAAACTTTGAATCATGATTCAAATCCTTTTACATCATTATTTTTTAAAAATTCTTTTTTCTCTTTGAATCAAACAAAATGAAATATGTACCTGGAAATAATTTCTATGAAAAACAGAGACAGGAGGTCATTACAGTCCGACTCAGACTGGCTGTCACCACTGAGGGTTTCATAGATACTGAAGAGACACATGGGTCTTTTTTCTGTATTTCACACCAAGCTTGCTCACTCATTATCTAAATTCTCTGTGACTCATTGTATCCATTTTACCATAATCTTTAATTATATCCATTATCAATACTTATCTCCTTTTTGATTACAGTGTTTCAGCTGTGCATGGCTGTTTTTGTCATTTTTGTGAAAATGTATCTGGTGTTCTACTTTCTAGATTGAAGGCTAACATTTGTCGTTTTTATAACTCATGCCAGACGTTCAGAGAAATGCCAGTTTTGAAAACTGAAAATTTATTTTTGTCCTATTGTATTAATAGTGATAGTACTGATGGTTTAAAAAAAAAACTTCAGGGAAAATTATTTCTGCGATTCTGTTTGAATTACACACTAGTAATATTACAGTAATAGATAGCTCTTCATACCTACAAAACAAACAACGAATTCTGAAATAGCCCCAGGTGAACTTAATGGCATAAAGAGTCACTGATTGCCCATCGCCACGAGGGACAGGGACATAAATGAGCACACAGCAAGTTGGATTTGGTAACTAGTCTGTTATTCTATAAATCACCCCAAATCTACTCTCCCCCAAGGAACCTAAACAAGCTTACAAAAAGATTCCTATTGCTCTAGCATAAGACCAGTCGTCTTCACAGTGGGTAGCACTGTCTTTTCTCACTCCTGACCACCTGGCCCATGCCGCTGGTCCCGGGTGTGCTTGTTCTCATCCACCTAACCCATTTCTCGGTACCACTCGAGGATCCTCCCACCTTTGGCATTTTGAACTTGCTCTTTTGTCTGCAATGCTTTTCCTCCAGTCTCTGCACAGCTGAATCTTCGTCCTTCTTCAGTTTTGGCTCAAATATTACATTTACAGAAAGGCCTTCCCAACAACTCTCTCCAAAGCAGCATTTTGCCTCTTTTTCTACCTTTGTGGTTCGTGTTATGATTCACAATGATTTTGGTATTTGTTTGCTTTCTTGCTGTACATTTACTCTCACAAGCCCATGATGAAATAAGCTCTATGAGGGACCCTGTATCTTCGACCCTCTTTCCTTCCAGGCCCTAAAACACTACTTGGGCACAGTAGGTGCACAGTCAGTGCTATTGAATTGAGCTTACTTCTCTGTATATAAAACACATAGTAACTCTACACCAAGCTGATTGTTTAATTTACACTCATGGTTTTCCAACCCACAAGCTTTCGGCAAGTGCATGACACAAGAGGTTCTCTTAGAGACTGGCCTCCTAGTTCCCAAACCTAGGTCTGTTCCTTCCTGAGAGGACAACTAGCCTGTTTCCTGGCCTCCCTCGTGGCTGTATGCGGCTATGGAACTGAATTCTGGCCAATAAAATGTGAGCAATCGCTTGAAGTTTACTTGCAGGCTCGTGAGATCTTTAGAAAATCCCCCACCCTTTCGTTGTCCCATGAGTAACCTCAGAAGTTGTCCACGGACACACAGACCGCAGTAGCCTCGCTTCCTACGTTAGTGTTTGGAGCACACACGATCTCTTTCTTGAATCTGATTAGAATTTACATGAGCATGTCATAAACTGTAATTATGTGAAATCACAGAAGTTTTAGTTTTTTAAAACTGTGTTTGCAACTATTGCTCCCCAATGCAGAGCTGCCCCTTTCATGGGATCCAAAGGCAAGTATTCAGTTACAGAACCTTTGTCTTTTCCACTCCCCTTTTCTCAAGAACCTAGGGCAGTTTTGTAGACCACTCATGCCCTGTGCTAATAGCAGCCCTAATGAAGCATTTGCTTATGTTTTGGGGATATTTTAAGTTAGAGGGTTTAAGGTATAAGAGCTGTGAACTTTCAGAAATGAGCTCAGTGGTTCTCCGTGACTTTGCTGGACACTTACTATTTTCAGTTCTCCTTAATATAATCCCTGTAACCCAATTTTGGTTCAATATACTGTTATTTTGAAACCTCAGAATTTTTTCTTGAGCTTATATAAAGGTGCAGCAACAATTTAGTATTTTCCTCCTTTATGTTGTGAATCTATCTACCTACCTGAGTTGAAACCTTTTAGAAATGTTTAAATTTTATCCAAAAGTATGATCATCACAAAACTTGGTAATATTTCCCCTTAAATAAAGTAAAATGTATTTACAGAATAGTTTTCTTATGGTGAAGAATAGACACTGGTCTTAGACAAAGAAGATTAAAAGACTCTCTTTCCACCACAGCTACACTGTCTTAGGTCACAGCTGCAGAAAAACCTGAAACTGACAGTTCAAACGAGCTTTTTTTCTTAAAGAAGGGAAGAATCTATCCCAAATACAGTGAGGAAAACTGCAGATTAAAAAATGAAATACAACAGACTCTGTCTTTCCTTCGATTATTATCATCATTACTTTTAATTGCAAGATGGTGCATGTGCCGTCTGGAGGAACAGAGGGAGAGAGACAAAGCTCTCCCCCATGGCTGTGGCCCCTCTGCAGGCTCTTCTCTCCCATCTTTCCACCCCGTCAGGGTGTGGGGCACATATGTACAAGTGCCTAGTGTGCTTTCAAGCTGCAGGGGCTGGGATTTGAAACGCATGGCCTGCCATATGGGATCTGGCTCCCTTAACCACGAGGCCATGGGGCCAGCTCTTCTAAGTTTATTTTTAAAGGTTTTATTTATTTATTTTGAGAGGGAGGGGGAGAGAGAGAGAGAGAGAGAGAATACCTTGATAGGGTTTCACCTCTCAACCAAAATCACAGGGGCATGTGGGGTTACCTGGCACGCTCAGGTGGAACAGGCATTTCTGGTGCCATCCTCCTCCCCACTCTTCTGTATCCTTATTTCCTT